CTAAGGAAGAGAAAGCAGGTAGTGTGTTGCCATGACAGAATGCAGTGAAATAAATGTAAAACTTTTTCTTAGCATTGTGCTTTAGATTTCTTATATTAAAAACCAAGAGAGAGAGAAATAGGCAAGTGTAGGTGATAAAAACTAATTTTATATTTGCCTGAGCAGAAAGTTCCAGGATGGGGGTGGAGGGAGGAAACAAAAGAGGGGTTGGTGGAACTTTAATCATCAAATCCAGTAAGATACCTTGTGATTCCTTACAATACTCCTATCTTATTTTCAAAATGCAATCTCACTAATCTGACAAGTTTTAAGCAATTTTCATGTCTAAGTGATCACAGATAAAGCTATCAGCAATCTAAAAACACACAAAACCAACACAAGTAACTATAGTTTCATTTTTATACTAATTTTGCCACTGCTGTAGTATTGCTGCTTCGTACCTGGCATATAGCTTCTGGCCATGAGGATGATTTGATGTATTCTTTAATGCCCAAAGACAAGGTGCTTGAGATTCAATTGATTTTTTACATCATTAAATATTTCAGTAATGTTAAGTAATATCCTTGATAGTTCTCCTAGAAGAGAGCTACAGCATTCCTGCTCTAGTGATTCATGCTTTCCTTTGAAAATTAGATGAGAGCTATGTATTCTCTTCCTAGAAAAATGTGCGTGCACACTTGAAAAAGTCTGCAGAAAAGTTCCAGAGGCCCTGGGACTCCCTGAATCCCTGCTGACAACCTCTGTACCAGAAAAGGAGGAATTCATAAGGAAATAGTAAACTGGCTGAGCACTGTAAAGGGCCATCAAGGAAGGACTGGACATAGAAAAGGAAGTTTCCCATTCTAGTCCAGAACTGGCCTGGACTTGCCCTATTTACTTCTCACAGCAGCTCTGTGTATTCCTCATCATTTTTCTATAGTCAAGGAAACCAAGGTTCAGAGAGATTACATAACTTCCCCACAAAGTCATACTACTAGAAAGTGGCAGAGTCAAAATGCAGGCTCGGTCCTGACTTTCTAAGTCCAATGTACATTTCACTTAGCACTAAGTCAACTTACTGGGTTTTCATCTTAGGAATTCTTAAAACAGAACTGACCTATTGGACTAAACTTCTACTAGCCTGTGAACTCCCTGAGGGTAAGGTCCATGTCTCATTCATTTCATATCTCCAGTGCCTGGCACATAGAAGGCACTCATAGAAGGAGAAATGAATGTATAAAGTAACACACTGGAGCAACAATCCCATACACAGTGGTAGAAGCTACATGCAGCTGTGTGTGGGCACAACATAAAAATCCTTGTCATCATTAAATATTCCTTTAGATAACCACTGGGCACAGACTTCAACATATTTTAAACCGCAAATGGTAAAACTCTTGTACAGAAACAAGATTCAATCCTTTTGGAAAAAAACACATTTATAAGACACAAAGTAGCTTTACAACAACCTGCCTAACATTATCACGTCAACAATTAACATTTTTTGATAGTGAACTACTGCATCTTATTTAAAAAAAAACCAAACCCATATTGAAAACAAGGGCATAAATTAGGACTGTTTCTAAAGATATCTAATTTTACAAATTTTATAAGAACACAAACGCATTTTTTGTTTTTGCAATAATTGCTCTGAAGATGAAAACTAAAGCACCATTTCAATGTAGTAAAGGTAATTGCTGCATTTACTGCTCATGTCATGTTGATGTATGACCATGTATCAAAGGTCATCCTTCTGTACTCATACATTATCAAATTTGAAAGCACAATATTTGATTCTGACCAACCTTTAAACTGCCCACAATGTGTGTGAAAAATAGATGGAGTTCTACTTTGGGTTTAAAAAAAAAAATGAACCCATGTTTCGGAAGCAGAAGGGTCAAGAAGCCAGTGGCAAGGTTAGATGTCAGCACCATGAATCTCGCACTGTCTTAGCTTATCAATGAGGACTCATACAATGATCACAAGCTAAAATTGCTGTACTAATGAAGACAAAGGTCTAAAAAATTAGATAGCACAGGCTCTCTGACAGAGGGCAGTACCTTGCAGACAATAATGAAGAAATAAGGGCATAAATCACTCTTTAGAGACAATAAAACCTATAATGCACAAATGGAACTGTTTACATGTCTATTGGAGGCACTGTTAAAAACAAGTGTTGGCCGCCATACCTCTTGTTATGAACACAGCAACCCCAAATTCAGCTTCTTCATTAGAAGACAAGTCATCTGCTGCCCACCTCCTCTTCCTACTCCAAATACACAGCACTACCATCCTAACTCACAATTTAGTAGTCTTATACCATCCTGACCTAAAAGAAATGCTGAGCATTCTCGCTTGCTTCAAACTACTGCTGACAATTGTTTGCTGGGGGGATAAACTGGTCTTATCAGAATCTACTAAAACCTGAACAGCTGCTGCTCTCTCCTTTGCTGGTTGAGGGGAGGGGAGGTGGTGTGGCAGGGTGGGCCGGGGGGAGGGCAGCAGGAAAGAAAAAACACCCCCACTCTTAAGTAATGATTGTGACTGTCTTCAAATAAATAAAATACTATTTAATTTCACCAAGCCCAATTACAGGAGATTGCCTTATTAAAAAGAAAATCATACAAACATGCAAAATGAATCCAGGTCTTCAAAAATACGAGAAACCTAAGAGCCTGAGTCTATTTTTTTCAGATGCCAAAAAAGGAAAGGGCTTTTAGGCAGTAGAGAAAAGGACAGGACTTAAAGATCCCAGATTCCAATTCCATTTACAATATCCATAAACTAAGTGATCTTGGGGAATTAATTTAATCCATACTTGACAGGATTCCATCCCCTCACATGTCTGTGTGAGACTCTAAATAAGAGAATGGATATGAAACTAACCAGAGCACAGTGCCTGACCAAGAGTACGTATTCAAAAAAAATGTGCATGTAATGCCCCACTTTCTTCATTCCTTCAAAATCAGACTAAGATAGAAATATTTATTTTAACAAAAATAAACGATTTTCCCCAGTTTTCCTAAATCAAGTGCCAGGGATCTGGTAAAAGTCTTTGGCAGTTGAAAATTTGGCCTATTCTCATATAATCCTGGAATAAGAACTTAAACTAATTTATGAGGGAGATTTTTGAGAACTCTTTTTAATCTTCTCAGAGTGCTTCCAAATTCTATCAATTTTGCTGCCAAAGAAAAAAGGAAGGTACAAATATTAAAAAGAAAAATGCATAAAGCAGAAAATCTAGGTTTAAAAAAGCATCAAATAATATAGAACTATGTAAGTGGACAGTGTTCTCCTAAAACCCATGAGTAGTATAAATGAAACTACATATAACAGGACCTGTAGAAGAGGAAGGATAGGAAATTAAATGGAACCTAAGTTTCATACAAAGGCAAGCTGATAAAGGTAACCAGGGGACATCTACTATCCAATAAATTCAACATTTTTAAAAGGCATTTTAAAATAGTATTAAAATAGTGTAGATTTGTTTCTGAGAAAAGAAATAGTTTATGGATTGATACACTTTAATAAGGTTTTAATTCTGTACTCATTTTAATTTTTAATCTTGATTATATTCTAATAAATGTACTTTTCTGTATTTTCTATTTATCTGTCTAAACTCAGATCCTGAATCTGTGGACATAAATCAAACACTTGCTTGTCCTTTAAAGGAGTTCACCAGCGTACTTGTTAACCAGTCTCATTTGCTTCTGTCTTTTTTTGTGCATAGTAAAGTCAACTGACCGAGTGACCATGAAAAGGGACTGACTGGGGTTCCTGTTTTTTAGCAGCTGTTCCTTTTCAGCAATGACCATGTTATTGTGTGATTATCTCAACTGGTTTTAATTGAGGCAGAAACTAAAGCTCTACCATGAACTGTTTAAAAACAAGACACTAGTTTCTTATATTAAAATTGTTACAGTAACAACAAAAATTTTATATATTCACATTTTACTTATTAACTTGGTAAACTTAATACATTTAGGTCTCTAATAATTTTGAAACAAGTCAAATTACAAACTAAGATTTAGCAGATCATCAATTCACAACTGTATCTTAGTCCATCTTTACATAAGTACTTTTATTATTTTTAATAGCTCTTTGGGAGTTCATAAATTATATTTAAATTTCTTCTATAATTTTTACAATGAACTGAAGTTATACTAGATAATAACTTACTAATTATTTTCTTTTAATTTTCTAAAGCAGCTCTGTTCTCCATAGTTGTTTCAAAATAACTACCATAATGCCATAAATTATCTTCATTCTTTGACCCTTCCACTAACTTATTTGCACACAATCCAACAGGTAATATTGTAGAGTAATACTGTAAAGTATTATTATAAGGAAAAAAATTAGAAAAAAGTTTTAAGGTAGTTAAGTAGTTACTGTCAGCTGGAAATAGAAGTAAACATGTTATGTATTTTAAACAAACTCTAACACCAATATTGATTGACAGTGTAAAATTTGTGGTTTAATATAAAGCATCCTACATTAAGAGCTGAGATCTGAGTGATGGGTTGGCTCAGGTGCTAGATATCCCTATGACTTCATATAAGTCATTTAGATTTTCCGACACTCACCATACAATATTTAATGAAAATCATTATACAGTTAGTATCTCTTCCCCAACCTCACGAAGCTATGGCTCTCCTGATTCACTTATGTTCACCAAATAATAGTGACTGTATCTAATGCATACAATGAGAAAGACCAATTTCAGGAATGAAAGGTATAAATTAATAACAATATTAGCAAAATTTCTAAACTTGGGTTCTAACTGGAACTATTTTAATTAAATTCAACAACTATTACTGAGTGTCCCTATGTCTATGTGAGGAAGAGCACTAGGAGGCTAGGGGATTAGTAAAAACTTTGTACATGCAAACCACAGAAAACAGTAGCACAGCTATATTAAAAGTGGGGGGTTGGGGGGACAAGGCAAGAGGAACAGTGGCAGTAGCTGTGGTGAGAAATGCCAGAGATAACTAGGAGTAAAATGACTTAGGCTTTGTAGGCCATAAGGGTAAGTTTGGACTTTATTCCAAGAACAGTGAGTAATGATCAAAGGGTTTAAGTAACAGCATGACACGATTTGTTTTCCAATTGTAAAAACTCTTTCAGGCTACAATGCACAGAATAAACAGCCATGGGCAAGACTGGAGACAAAGAAATCAGTTAAGAGACAAATTTGAGATGATACAGGCCTGAATTAGAAGGCAGTACAAAAGTAACTAAGAGCAAGATTTCTGAAGTCATTTGCCTGTATTCAAATCCCAGCTTTTTCATTTGCCAAGTTGCTTACTCACTACACCTGTTTTCTCATCTATACTCCAGAGAAAAAAAATTCCTCACAGGGCTGTTGCCAAAGAACAAATAAAATAATACTCATACAACAGTTAGCATATTGCCTGGCACAGAGAAAGAATGCAAATGTTTATTACCATTAACGTTAGTGGGATGGAGAAATGAGAGTATAACTGGAAGATGTTTAGGAGATGGAAACTGACAGTTAAGACAGAAAAAGGGGAAAGGGATGAGTGGATAGACTCTACTATAGTTTCTGGCTTGAATAGTAGCACTATTTGATGAGATTAGAAACACAGAAAGTTTGAAAGTTCTGGATGTTTGAAGCAGAAAATAGTGTTCATTTTAAAATAAACTGATTGGGACAGACATTCCAGCAGGTAGGTGAAATATCACTCTGAAGTGAAGGAAAGAGATCAGTAGCGATCCGACAATCAGAGAGATAGATGGTAATTAAATCCAGGGGGGTTGATGAGAGCCCTAGAGAGAATACATGGAGGGAAGAAATGCTGACATAGTAGAAGCTATGGAACACCAACATTTAAAGGATGGGCAGGGGAAGAGAAGTCTGAAAATGACAGAGATTGGCCACAGGAGCAAGAGAACAGTAGTGTGAGAACTCAAAAGCTAAAAGAAAAAAAACTGTTTCAAACTAAAGGGACTACTCAATACTGTCGGACAGTGGAATAAGTTAAAACTGACAGTTTTCACTGCATTTAGCAACAAAGTTATTCATTCATGTAATAAATATGTGTGGAGCACTGTGCTAGGCCCTGGAGATACAGGGGTAAATAAGACAGTCAGAGAATTCAGAGGCCCTGAGGCTATGTGGAAGAGGGATGGAGAGAGAAGCCAGACCTTGTCTGTAGATTATGCTAAGGGTATAGCGAGAAAATTTAGATAATGACCTGTTGAATATTAGTAAGTAGGGAAATTAAGATCTCTCTAGCTAATAGCCCTTAGCATTAAGTTTGCTTTTTCTCACTTATACTAGTCTTAATCAGAAATAGGACATTTTACAATTCTTTCAACCATTAGCTGTTTATTACAATATCAGAATAAAGCTTTCTATTTTAAAGGGTACTTTATGATTACAGCATGTTACCTGTTGCATTAATTTTACTAATTCTCCTTTTAACCATCTTCTGTATTTCTTTCAAAGATATTTCTCATAATATATGCTTGATTTTATCAACAAATTATATTTCTCTGAGGTATTCCTAATTTTCCACTGATGTACATCTGACTTTGAATGTTTTTTAATAAGAAAACTCAGCAAGGTGTTCCTAAAATAGTATGGTCCAATAATGCACAAAAACCCTGATATCAGGCTTCATAAAAAAATACTATATTCAGTAGGATTATATTCCATAGTTTCAGCTTCCTATTTCCTTAATTCATGCATTTATATACATGTATATGATAAAGAAAAGTTGATGAAGAAAACTTTGGCTTGATTCTGAACAGCTGAATTATATGTTCATATTGTTTTTTCATTTCCTTACCTGCAAGAGGAAGGATATACAGCCCTTTCATATTTCACAAAGATATTAATAGTATAAAATGCTACCATTTACCGTTTATCTATTAATTATCAGGCAATGAGCTAATCACACTACATAAGTTATTTTTAATTTTACCCATACCCACAAAAGTAGGTGTGATTCTTCCAATTTTACAGATGAAGAAAATAGTCTCAGAGAGGTCAGGTGACTTGCTCAAGACCGCAGAGCTGGAATTTAAGCCCAGTTCGGTAATCTTGAAAACTCTGGTCGCTATACCATTACGCCTAAGACCATTAACAGACTGGGCTCCTTAAAAATATCTATCAGATATAAGATATTAAAGCATAAAGAAGAATTTTTAAATGATAACAAATGGTATTGTCCCTCTGGCATAATAACTTGATTACAATTTTCTTTTTAATAATAGAGAAGAGAGATAAAAGGAAGATAGAAAAGGTAACAGTGTACTTAACGTCCAAGAATTATCATTCTGGGTCAAAAAAATTTCCCAGTTAATCCTTAATACAAATTAAATTCAATGAACAACCAGTAACTAACTGCTTATTCTCACAAAACTATGTCTCTCGAAATAAAAAACTACAAATGGCCTAAGTTTTTCTTGAATCAGAAAAATCTAATCTCTAATTAGAACCTCTAAATGTCACTATTTCTCTGAATTTGAAAGGCAACAAATCTAAATAAAAAGATCATAATTTGATCTCAGTAGAGTGTATAGGCTTATTGAATGGTGAGCTCTTCCTACTAAGACTTTTCAGGTAGCCAAGCATCCACCCAAGATGTTGTCTGAAGGAGGCTTGATATTTAACAAAAAGAAACTGCTGCCAGATATCTTTATTTTCCTTAACAAAATACACACAAGAGCACAAATTCACTTATAATATCATTATTTTACAAATATAAATAACATTCAAAATGCAAGTACAGTCAAGTGCAGAGATATTTCCTATATGTTAATATGTAAACATAAGCTAATTATATACATCAGGTACCTCTGGCCCAGCTGCAAAATAAGAAACATCCAAAAGTAACACTGCACTTGACTGTTCAACTTTATTCTTAATGAGGATTCATGTCCATGCCTATATTGTTACTGCAATAACTTTCATACCTCTTAATGTAAATGCCTAAATAGACATTTCACCCCCTGGCAAATATCTCAAGAGTTAAAATTCTATCCATTTTAATTATGAAGTATTAAAAAATCTTAATTGAGTTTCATTCCTTAAAACAAACACTTTTAGAACTTATTCCTAACTAAAAGTTCTTCCTATGTCAAAATGGATAGTATTTACAGGTCACAACTAGAAAATAAAACTCCTATCATATTTGTTTAATGTTAGAATGAAAAAAAACCTAAAAGCTGTCTAAACAGTGTCAGTTTTTGTACATTCAGAAGGATCTTACTTTACTGACACCACTTGCTTTTAATTTTAGTACCCTGTAGACATAACTTCGACATACTGAAATAACTAGGCAATCTAAATTCAAATGATATCGAGCATGTCTTTTGAGGGGGGAAAAAAAAGCAGCACCTAAAAAAGCAATAACTGGCATCAACAAGACTACAGATATCCAGTTGAAGGCACGTGGAAGCATTTACTACACTGTCAAAGGTTCTCCACTTAGTTCAGGATTAGGAATAGCATCAGCTCTGGGAACTGCTGATTTGGCTTCACTCATTGAGGTTTCCTCCTTCTCAGTCTCTTCTTGCTTCTCCTCTGGTTCCTCTGTGCCAGGTGCTTGTTCAATCACTTCTTTGGTCTGCTCTGTATCTGGTGTTTTATCATCTGTCTGCTCTGTACTGTTATCAAGAACATCGTGTTCTTCTAAAGATTCTGAAAAGATAAAGGGTCAAGATTTTAGGAATATCCAAATGTTAAAACTACTGAATAAGATAAGTACACACATATGTGGACTAAGAAACAGTCTAAGAACAGTCTAACATTATCCTTAAAGTCTTTGAAAATATGTACTTAACTCCTTATAGCATACCATATATGAACTGGTGTGAATGAAGGGGGAAAAAATTACGAGGGAAACAAAGCCATAAACATACTTTTACCTAAAACCCCATATATCATGAAATATAAGAACTTTCATAATATTTAGCAACTTTCCTAAAGATGGATTTGAAAGTTCAATGTTCAACTGTATCAAAGTCCCAAGAGAATCATGTGCTGTAAGACAACAGCCTAGCAAACAAAGCAAGTGTACTGACTCCCAGATTATGTTTCCTGAAGGAACTGGTCTCCCTTGTGCCCAGGCAACCCTGTGACCAATGTGTAAATGTAAACTTTCGTGTGTGTGTACGTGTAGGTGGTGTGATTTCCCACACTGATATACTTCTCTATTATCCAAGGACTGGGGAGGTCTGGATCCACCTTTTCCCCTCATCCCTCTGCAAGACAAGTCCTCAGGATCTAAACCTCTGGGTCAGAAGGGACTGCCAGGGAGAGAAAGGGATGAGTCTTTTGCTCCTGTCTCCATAGCAAAAACCAAGGAAGGGTCTTAGCCCCTACCTGGAAATTTACTCCCTTTAAACTCTTTTGAGTTTCATTAAATTCAAATCTCTTAATAATAATTTAACAACAACAACAACAATAATAACAAGTTTAATTCTTTAAAGTTTAAAGAATGGGATAGGGAAGGGAATGACAGAAACAGAAAGCTTTGGGCCACCCAATTTCCAAATCAAAGTAAAAACCTAACTCTGAGATGTTTCTTTGTTTTGTCTTTGTAATAAATACCAACTAATATTCTTGTTAGGAGAAATATGTTTAAACCACATCAGCTACACAAATAGGATTTTTGTACCCTCACAGATGATCCCTTAGAATATATTACAAATGTTCCTGATTCAAAAAATCTGGAGGGAAGGCCAGTCTACATTAGTAAAAAGTTCCAGTTTAGTTCCTTGTACAGTACAGGCCAGAATTTTCTAGATAAATAAAATAAATAGTTTTGCAAAGAAATTGTGTGCTATATATATACATGTTGACATGGAGGTCTTACAAATTTATGGTTTCATCATATCAGTTTTAATAAATTCAAATTATCTGTATTTTACACACTCTATGCCAAGACTCAAAAAATATTTTAACTATTTCTTCAAATAGATACCTTAGACTCTAGTTTACAGAATTAATTACAATCTCTTTCTCTCTTTTTATATATAGAATGAAAGGCCAAAACTGCACAGTTAGGGACATCCAAGTTAATGAGGTTTTACTGTATGAAAATTTCACATGATCACAAAAAGCAGTGAGGAATGTTCACGTCACAAAAATGCTATTTTTATCTTAAAAGGAACTTAAAACGGCACCACTGTACCACTTGGAATCTTACAAAAATCCAAAGTGGAAAAGCAATAGGTCATTTGAGTTTTGTTATTTGAATGCCTCAGTGCTCAAAGGAAAAGCAGAAAGTGAAATGAAACTCTGCAGACACGTACATGTCATTTCTGCTACAAGGGCAAACAAGTCCTTCGGTGAAAAACTTCAGAAGTCACTAACCATTTGCATTTCTACCTTCACAGAATTTATCCAGGGCAGAGTTTTAAGAGCCATGATTTTCCACAACTCTCTGGCCATAGAGCAATACTTACTTGCCAAGAACTTTACAATCGATTATAATTTAGTAAGCTTTCCAATAAAGTCACACAAAATGAAAAAACATAAAGCTCAGAATCCAAGACTCCGTTCATCAATAAACATATTTAAGTGAACACAGGCCCACATAATTTTTCATATTCTGTCTGACAGACTGCCTCAGTACTGAACTTAAACAGGGGAGGTATCAAAGTTCATGATTTATCATATTACCAAAGCTTTGTGATACAACTATTTTCAGAAACAGACACATCCCTAGTCAAATCCAATTTAATTAAAAAATTCTGGGTTCTTAAAGAAGTAGTTAATACAAAGAGAAGAACTATAGTACTTAATTTTGTAACACTGCAGAGGTGAATTTTAAGAAATACCATGTGCTGTCACAATCAGAAAACAGCATTATACACAAAACTTGCTCATCAATACTGTATTGTATTTCAGAGACTATATAGAAGACTAAAAACTAGTGAAATGATGAGTGGGGTTTGAAAACAAACAAAAAGCCTATTAATGACTACTTTTCTCTCCCCAGGTTAATTTGCAGAAGAGTAATTTTAATAGCAGTAACACTACAAAAAACCTGTATGTGCACATGTGTCATGATGCCTATAATGCAGACATCAGCTAGTAAAAACAATGTAGATATTCAATGTTTGGAAGCCAATGCCATTTTGTGAGAAGTCATCCCAACAAGATTTAACTGAACCAGGTGTGCAAGATCAACAGAGAATTGTATTATCAGTTTAATAACTAAAACACAGAGCTTTATAATAAGATTAGTAAATGTATTCCAAAAGTACACTTTATTTCTATGGGAGAGTATCATTTGCCTATTCTAAAAACAGTTTTTCTATGAAGCCGTGGTTTAAAATAGCTTGGTGGTATAAAATGCATTACAGTAGATGTCAATATTTAGGCATAAAATGCTGAAAGAAACCAGCCTCTGTGTTCACACAAATTAAATACTTCTCCCTTATGTACCACCAGTTTAAGACTAAACCTGACACAAAGTTACCTGAATGACCTAATTTCATCTGTAAGAAAATTTTAAAAATCACCTTTGACATTTGTTATGCCCAGAAAACAAAATATCACAACGCAATGAAACAAAAATGACCCAAGGAATTTGTTCTTTTACCCACTCCTGCCCCTGCCCCTGCCCCACTCCCACCCCAATATTCTTGAAAGAGAAGCTTTTTCCACCAAATTTTAACAGCTGCTGTTTGAGCAAAGCTTCCAGATGTTTGGGCAAAGCTTCAATTCAGCTATACAACTCACTCATAACACTGAGTGTAACTGTGTAACAAATACTGCTACCTCACTCATATACCACACACATGCAAAAACAGGTAAAAAGATCACCTTACCTTTACGTTTTTATTCTAGCTCTTGAAAGAATAATTTTCTAACAAAATTAAAGAATAGTCTAGCAAAACAATTTCATATATCTCCAAAAGAAATACATAATTTCCACAGCAAAACACATGATTCTACTTAGATTATGCCTTCAAAAACCCCTCATATTGTAGTGAATCCATTTAGATTCTTTTTATTCCTTTTTGCAATAACTTAAAAAAAAATTTTTTGTATTGCTAACATATCAGTATCCACTCTATGTGTAGACTATAAAACTTACCCAAAGGAAATCTGTTAAATTAATGGACAATTTGTCTTTGAACTCAGATTTTAAACAAAACAGTTTTTGCAAGATCAATCTGCCTTAAGGGAAATGGCTAACTTATATTTAAGGAACAGACATGAATTTCACTCCGAAAACTCAACTCAATGACTCAATGAATAAAATTCAAATAAATGAAAACCACCTATGAAAAAACAGTTCATATTAAACACACAGACTGTTGTTTCATTATTTACCATTGGCGAACAAACCCATTAGGTGAGTATAAATGTTAAAACTAGTAGGTGAAGATGTTTTAGAAAAGGGAATCAAAAGGCCAAAAGATCTCTATGCCTAAAACAAACATGCAAAAACATAATACAGGTAAGTTTACATCTTCAGTAAGCTATATATAATTAAATATAAATAAAGGTATAAGCTTTTTGGACCTGATAAATACACAGAATTCAACAAAATTTACATTATCAAATAGTTCAGTTTCTTACAGCGTCATAATAAATAATACTAAAAATAGAATTTTCTCTAGTTCAACATAACCTAATTGTAACAGTACATTGCTTAAAAGAAAGGAAGAGCAGAAATCAAATTATCAAGATAAATTACACTTTAAATAAATTTTACTTGCTATTTTTGATAGTACTGATTAGATGCCATGGGTTTTATAATTAGCAAGTTACTTCCACTCCCATAAGTGCTATATTCTACTGAAATAATTAAATAAGATCCATTCAAATATAACTGAACAATGAAAACAATATTAGTATTTTTCAAACATGCTAACTCCAAATCATTATACTGGAATACTAACTGCAGAAACCTCATATGCTGATTAAGAATGCTATGTATCAGTTATTTGGAAAGCACATTAAAAAAAACACCTGATAAACCCACTTTAACATGGCTTAGCAGAGACTCAAATATTACTATATTATTCATTTCACAATAAAAGAAACCGAGGAACCAAAAAGCAGTTCATCACTTTGGCATACCATATCTAGTATGTTCTTAGATAAAATGACAATCCTAATTTCTTGCTTTTTCTATTGCTCTATTACCAAAGCATCTGGATACACAGTTCTAGAAAAAATTCTAGGAATTCAAATGAGCAATTAATGGGAGGAATTTCTTCTAGGTCTCCTTCTTTGACGAAAACTTTCCAAGATTTCATATGTTGTTCTAAAGAGTGATCCGAAAATTTCAAAAGCCTTGTGCCTTATCCAAAATGCAAAATCTTCCAGTAGCACAATCAAGACAAAATTTAATTTCAAAGTCTTGCATCATAAATTGAAAAACAAGGTTTCTTCTATTAATCCTACATTTAAGTGGTTATGGAATATTTGTTGAAAAAAATTCAGATGGAAGAAAGTTACCTTTTAGTTCCAATCAAAGAGCTATTTCAATATTTTTTAAAATTTAAAAAATTAAAACAGGAGAGTTTTTCTTTCAGACCTCAAGTTTCCACATTAAAAATATAGAAACAGCAAATATAAGCCCTTAATCACACTGGCTGTCAGCAGAGAGACTGAGATGATATGCTCTTACTTCATAGTTCAATTTAATCATCAAGGTAAGCCACCAGCATTCAAATAAATGCAGCTTCATCTGTTCATCAGAAATGCTTCCAGTTGTTTACTAGCAGAATCCAGCTTGGAAATGACAACTGTGTATCACAGTCTTGAGGCAGGAGTCTTGGAAAAAATTTTCAGTCTTCTGGAAAACCAAAAAAGTAAAAGGTGCTCATAATAGCCATTTTGATAAATCCAAAGAGATGAAGAAGTTACTATTCTAGAGACTACCTTAACCAAATGGAATTGGTGCTTCAGTTCTAGCACCGCGGAGTTATCAGACCCTGCTTCAAGTTTGTCTTCACCTATTAACATTACCTTATTAGGGTTGAGTTTGAGCCAGTTAGACTTCATTCCAGAGATTTCTGACAGAAAATGAGACATCTGGGATATTGCTCCTCCTAGATTAGATGAGAAGGAAAGGTATAGAGCTGGGTGTTGTTTGCTAACTATGCATCTTGACCTTACTAGAAGATAGAAAGCATGGGGCTCATTATCAAGATTTCTATTTTGTTGGTTGTTTTCTCTTTTTTTTTTTTTTTTGTCCCAACTACTGGCTTTCAAATATTCACTTTAGCTTTCATAAGCAAGGTTACTCATGGAAAGGACTGCAATTTTTCCTCTAGGCATCTTCAGTATGAAATTCTTTAATTTTCAGTTCCAAGAGGCTGCAATGGCAAGGCAGATGATTTGCATGTGACAGCATGCAGCTCAGAGCATGACTTAAGCAAAAGAAAAAATCTGATATTCTGTTCGGAGTGGACGTTTCAGACTTGGAGAAGATGAATGCACTGATTCAGTGTTGGAAGTACACAGGCCTCTTGTAATGGCTATTTGTATTCAAATTCATTTTGATATTTGTTAGTAAGCCAAAAGCCAAGCCCAAGTCAATGCACGGTATTTTAAGTTCATTTTCAAAGTTTAAACAAACAAACAAAGACACTCAAATTTTCATACTAACCTTCCAATATGTGAAAATTCACTACCTCATATATTATTCTCAGTAAAAGCAATCTTTCCACTACTCAGTGATTTTGTAAAGAAATCAAATACATGTAATTGATAATTTCTAGAAGTTAAAAGGATGAATACTGACTGTTAAACTATGTGAACAAAACTTCCTATGTGGATTTTTTTTTCTATACCAGGCGAAGCACCAAAATATCAGGGCCTGTGTCATAATTTTAGCAATCTTCATAATTCAGAGCTGCTTAACAAACAGCTCCTCATTCAATATTAACAGCAAGAAATAGTTGGCAGTTAATAGTCAGATCTTCCACCTTATCTTTTGCATTTTTCATGAAACTTCCTCAAGAATTCCTAAAACAGAATTGAAAGACAAGTTCTAAAACCCAATGAATCCTAATAAAAATCTGTTTCTCTAAAATAAGGTTGTTTTACAACAAAGACATTCATCAGCAGCGTTAATCTCCTGGACCTCGACAGATTGTTTCAAAGTCCTATCAACACAGTCATCTGAAGAACATAAGGATGACTTTCCAATTCCAAAGTTTCCTGCTTTTGAGTAACTCCTATTCATTCAAATCATAAGCACAAATCTATTTTTATCAATGTTAATTACAAATCTTATAAAAAATTTACCCGTAGAAGTAGTAGTTTCATGATGCTAATAATCTGCTTCATTTAAATAAATTGAAAAATTCCATGAAAACATTACTAGTTAAATCTCCCAAGAGCTATTATAAGAGATAATGCCATAAACAGTATTTACCTAGTTGTTTCTAGATGTTAACACAATATAACTTGTGCTTTAAAAGTGAAACACATCATACAAATCACACAGGAGGCCATAGTAACACAGCAATAGCTGATATACGCATGCTGCAAAATCTGATCCATTCTTGCCTAAAAGCATTGTGCTGTTATTGTTAAACAGCAAACATTATTAAGAGATAAAACTTTTTAATTAACATGTTCATACCTTCACTGATCTGGTTCTCTGATGAAATCACACTTTCTGAGGGCAAGGAACCAACTGAACTTGAACCTTCCACTGCCTGCCTCTTCTCAAAACTAAACTCTGGAAGTCTTGGAGCCTGGGGCCTGGTCTTTCTTGCAGGATTCAAGAAAAAACAGTAGGCACAACGAAAAGCTGCAGAGAATTAAAAAATAAATAAATAAAACCATGAACCAAATGAATTTTAAGGACTAATCAGGTAACACTCAAGATTACCTTTACAAATAGTCAAAAAACCCTTCAAAAATTATTTATCCCTTGTGAAATTCCATGTGGTTTTAATAATATTATGGCGGGTGTTCTAACAAAGTTTATTTTAAAGTGTATTTTCTAATTATTATTAGAATTATAATATCAACTTAAAAGCAGAAAAGATAGTAAGTTACATAGCAGGTTAACTAATAGTAAAGCAATATTAATAATTACCTAAATGCATTACAGAAATTACATTTCTAGTCACCAGGATCATTAGGTATCTTCAAATCCAAAACCTTGTTCATTTGCCCCCCCAAAATGTAGTATGTCATATTTGAGAAGCATAATTAATTTAGTACAATATTTTTAAATAGTAGCTGCACATGAAAATATTCTGAGAATCTTTAAAAAAGATATACCTGATACCTGGACGCCCCCCCAGATCAATTAAAGCAGATTATCTGTAGGTGGGACCTTGGCATCATAATTTTAAAAGCTCTCCAAGTGATTCTGAGGCACAGTGAAGTTTGAGGACAACTGGCCAAGAGACTGTACATTGTATGAAGAAAAAAGCAGAGTTGTCTCTCCTGCTTTGCTGTGTGTTCTACAATATACCTGAACAACATGACAGAGACAGTACCTAAAATATAATGACATTACATGGGAATTGGTATAGAATGAAATATTTGAGTAAAATACTTCAATCTAACTGCCCAATAATTCTTACCAATGTATTCAAATTCTTCTTTCAAAGCCATGCCATTGTGAGAAAAACATTGCTGACATATAAGGGCATACCTACACCAAAAGGAAAAGTGAACAGACCAATTACAAATCAGACAAAAAGCCCATGAGAGAGGCTACTTCAGCCATCACAGTGAATTTATATTTTAACATAGCTAAATGTCATAACAGATTAGATGTTACTTAATAAACAATAAACAGTACACTTTAAGCATGACAACAGCCAAAATTTCAACTACTTTAAAACATAATCTATACATCTACTTAAAAATAAACTAAGCAACAGTCAAAAGAAAATAGTCTTACTAAGTAAGCAGAACTATATTTGATAACAGAACACTTCAGTTTCAATGTTTCCTAACATATATTCCTGGAGATGACAGACCCCAAGTCTGTGGTCAGATAAGACTGGAAAAGATGAAACCTCTCAAAGATTCACAATGATTATTATTAAAACCTCTGAGAAGACTTGCAGTAAAGAAATGAATTTAATTTTGTTTAGCTGAGTACAAAGGCTAATTCCTATACATCATGATTACTGTATCTATCCCAGTAACACTTAAACATCTTTCTCATTTTCTATTTATATACCCTCTCTGTTCTCTGTGTATGTACATAACAAATACTTGGCCCTGTCAAACAATATTCTACCTGTTTTGAATAGCATACAATTTATTTCAGTAACATTAAATTCTAGTCCCTTTATTAAAACAACAATATTAACTGATAACACTGTCAAATATTTACTCTAGTATCCTAAGAATTATTTAAAATCTACACTGTAACAATTACTCTGCTCATATCATACTTATCTTCCTAGAGTTACTATAAGGATTAATTAAGATAATAGATGGAAAAGCACTTTAGAACTGTAAGTGCCAAATATCGGAAATTGTCCTCACTGTTATTGAAATTATCACCATCATTAAGTCTAGTACTCATATCTATAAAACTCCAACTCTGCACTATTTATGTGCTCTTCATGTTTAAAGGATTCAATGAAATGATTCAATTTTACCAAAAATAATCTTATAGTACAATTATAACAAGGCAGAGTTAACAATATTTTTTCCATTATATATAATACATTTTAAAATATTTTATCTAAATACTTTATCCAAACTGCTACTGAAAAATAATTGAATAAACTCTTTTGCAGGGCTATAAAATACCCCACTACGTTCTAAAATCAGGAAACAAGAGCCACAAAATTGTAGAAAATCTAATACATGTGCACACACACCCTAACCAATAAGATTTTCTTTATTTTCATTTATCTACCACCCTAGTAAGCATTACCTGTTTTGTGGACCATCACCAACTAAATATTCAACAATTCTATCCAGAGCACCTCGTTCTCGGGGCAGAATGGGTCTTGCTAAAGGTGGGCCTGGAGGATGAAGACCTAGTAAATAAATAAATAAGTACATATAAAATTTATATATATATTTAAAATTTAATTCAGTTGCCAAGAACTACCTATGCTTGTTAGAAC